AGCTCGGGGTCTGTCCCGGCCTTATATAGCCCCGGGACGGCTCCGACTGACGTCAGCGAGGAGCGGGACGACCTCGGCCTCGAGCCTGGCGTGCGGGCCAGGGGCGCGGCTCCCGCACTGGGCGCCGGTCCCTGGAGCTGGCGCTGGTGACAGCGCGGGGCGGGTCGGCCAGGCCAGGTGGGGCTGGAGACGGCCCTGGACACACCAGTCCCTCGCCCGGGGACAGGACAGCAATGACCTGGCCCGAGCACACCAGGTGGCTGGTTCGCCCGCACGCGAAGGGTGTCCCTGGTGCTGACCTGGGGTGGGAGTGCCGCTGGCACGCAGCCAATGTGGGGCATCCCACCTCCGGATTCGCAACCTTTCCCAGCCCCGGGGCCTAAACTCCAGGCTGCCAGACCCAGGCGCCACGTAAGAGGGTCTCTGGCCTCCAGCACTCTCAGACCCAGAAGGTGGGTTCATTTCCTTCCGATGTGCCCCGAAGCGTGGTTGAGCGGAGCTGTTCCCCCCCACCCCCAATCATGCTGCGGCATCACTGTGCCTGTGGCCTTCTGGCTGGGGTCACTGGACAGGAAGCAAGACCCTGTGGGCCTGTTTCACTCAGCCACTGACTGCAGGTGTGGACAGGCGCCTCCCTTCCATGGACCTCAGTGCCCCTGTGTTTAAACAGCTTTCCAGTTCTTAAAATGTCGACTCCCCAATTTTCTGCCTAAAAACTTATCATCAGCTGGGCTCGGTGGCTCAGCCTGTAATCCCACGCCTTTGGGAGGCTGAGGTGAGTGGATTGCCTGAGCCCACAGGTTCGAGACCCGCCTGGGCAACTTGGTGAGACTTTATCTCTACAATAAATCAAAAACTAGCGGGGCGTGGTAGCGCACGCCTGTAGTTCCAGCTACCCGGAAGGCTGAGGCGGAAGGATCGCCGGAGCCCAGCAGGTCGAGGCTGCGGTGGCCAGGAGCCGCCACTGCACTCCAGTCGGGGCGACAAAGTGAGACTCCAACTCAAAACAAAAAAAACTTATCATCACACAGTTAATAAGATACTTACTGAGGCTCCATTCAGAGGGCTCAAGGAGTCCTCAAAGACGAGCCACACTGGGGCTGGACAGGGCTAGGGCGGCAGAGGGGACATTTGGTGGGATACAGTGTAAAACAAAGCTGATGAGGTCCTCGGGTTCAGCATGTTTATTTATGGAGTGCGCAGTACGTGGCAGAAATAAGACTATTATAAAAGGTCTTAGTGACGTCAGAGTCCATTTACATTTTAGGGCAAAATGGGTACTTCAGGGTGCTAATCCCGCTGAATTCTGACCAGCACCCCAAGCCTGCGGAAGCTGGTGTCCCCGCTTTGGGGAGGCTGCATCGCTGCAAAGTGGCAACTGTGGGGTGAGGCTGCCTAGGGCTGATGTGCCTTCCAGCACAGATAGGAGTTCCAGACAACAGCGACCCCCTGGACCACAGCCAGCCTGAGAAGTAGAGAGGAGGAGGGGAGCAAGGGGCAGAGACGGGAAAGTGCAGTGCAAAAGGGGCCATCTGGGGGACTCAGGCCTCCTTCCCACATCCCTATGAAGGGCTGAGCGGCCTCCCACCTCCTGATGAGAGCCTCAGATTCGGTGCAGCCCTCTTGCCTCGCGTGGCCCTCACCCACACCCCTGTCCAGGTCCTTCTGAATTCATTCACCTGTTACCTGCTGAGGAGCAGCTCCAAAGTATTTCCTGCCTATCAAGCAGCACCTCCTTCTCTTCGCCTTGAACGACTCTGCTTTAGTTTCTTTTTTTTGGTGTTCCCTTCAGTACCAGCAACAGCTACTAGATCTAAGGTCTGCTCTAGTTTCAAAGGGTGGTGCAAAGGAGCCTCGCGTTTAGAATTCGGTTCACAGGTCTTTCTTCCTCTTAGCGGCACATGTAAATTTTGGCCGCATCTCCAAAGAGTTTCACATTTATCCCTGTTCCCCAGACTCCTCGCTCCCAAGCACTTTAACCACTCATTTTGAGTTCCACGACCTTTTAATTGCAGTTCAGCAACTACCTTTATTGTCAGGGTAAGATAATACCTGGCCAGGCTCCTGCTTGGCTTTCTGGTCTACCCTCCTGCCTAACCCAGGCTGAAGACCCTGCACACACACCACACAGACAGAGTCCAGGCAGGTCAGAGGGCTGTGGAAGCAGGGTCTCCCCTAGGGAGAGGAAAGGTCAGTGGTAGGCACTCTGGGAGGCCGAAAGGGGTGACACATTCTGAAGAAAATGCCTGGGAGGCTGAGGGGCTCTGACAGGGCACAGGGATGGCTGGGCCTAAAGCGGCTCAAGGCTGGAAACCGATCTCCCATGACAGGTGGGCTGGGGACTGTCATACCTGTAATGAAGGGGCACCAGGTAGAAGTTGGCTAACTGCACAGTAGGCCAGAGCTGCGAGAGAGAAGGGTAAAGGTGACAGCTGCCCACACGAGCCCAGACCCACGGCCCTGCCTGGTCCTACTCGACTTCTGCACATGAGGAGAGGCAGGCGGTCGGCCGGTGCGGGTTTCCCCAGGGTGTGCCCACAATGGGAACGGGAGCGGGCCAGGACCCCCACCCTGAGGAGACAGAACAGGCAGCCGGGTGTGGCTCTCACATAGTAGTTGGTGATGAGGGCATCAGGATAATCCTGTGGAGACAGCGAAGCAGATTGACACCTGCTGCTTCGGGAGCTCCCCCCTCCTGTGTGAACGCCACAGGCTGTTCCCCTCGCCCCCGGCCCACCCCTGGGCTCTGCCTGCCCTGCCCCGCTCCGCCCTGAAGCCGCCCTCCTTCCCACACCTGCCTGCTCACCCGCTGTAGCTTGGCCCAGTTGTCCTGGGCCGACAGTCCATTGAGGGTCCCTACCAGTGGGAGGAAACAGCCTAGAAAACACGGGGCAAACCCACCCTGGGGAAGGAAGACGGAGCTCTGTGCGTGCCTTGGTCTCCCAGTCGCCAGCACAGCTCACCCTACCCGGTCCCTTTCAGGCCTGCTCACCTGATCCAGCAGCATCTTCTTCAGCGCGTCCACCTTGGTGGTGCCGGGGATGAGCCGATCCAGAACCCTGTACCAGCCTCCCACCACGGGTCCCTGGAAGCGAACCGGATAGGGCCAGACTGCAGGGGGGCAGCCCCTGGCCTCTGCATCCACATCCCCGCCCCCAAGCGTCAGAAAGCAAATCCCAGGGAAGCAAACGTTACAATACAAAGGGCACAGGGTGGCGGAGGTGCGAGTCCAGGGGCTGCTGGGAGCTGTGGCCACCATCCATCCCACGCAAGCCCTGCCATGGGCAGAACTTACCACAAAGCCACAGCCCAGGGATACCATGGTCAGGGTCCGGCCCGTGTGGTGTTCCCGCAAACCCCGCCTCTCCACCAGCTGCTGTGAGATCATGTCACCCAGGCCCATCAGGACCCCTGTGCAAGGCACACAGGGGATGTCAGGACATGCCCCAGGGGTGGGCTGCCAGTCCAAGGAAGCGGAAGTCTGCCGACCACCCTCTGAGCCTCGGGCACTGCGAGCCCCAGGGCTTCGTTCTGGAAGCAAATGACCTTGCTCTCCCCAGGACCGTGACGTCTCCCGTGTGTCCTGTCAGAATCTGGGATGAGCAGGCCAGGGCCTGAGAGCCCTGCACCGAGCACTGAAGGGAAGCCAGAATCAGAAACTGTGGAGGAAGGGGACTCCCCAGTGCCAGGGCCAAGCCACAGAGCGCCAGAAGAGCAAGGGTCCCCGCTCACTTAACCCAAGTCCTTCAACTTTTTTTTTTTTTTTGAGTTGGAGTCTCACTCTGTCGCCTAGACTGGAGTGCAGTGGCCACTCCCGGCCACCGCAGCCTCGACCTGCTGGGCTCTGGCGATCCTTCCACCTCAGCCTTCCAGGTAGCTGGAACTACAGGCACGCGCTACCACACCTGGCTCATTTTGATTTATTGTAGAGATGAGGTCTTGCCAAGTTGCCCAGGTGGGTCTCTCGCCCAGCCCAGTGCAAGGCCCTGGCCAACGGGCTGCCCCTGCGTCGGGGTCTCTATCCATGGAGGAGGGTGAGAATAATTCTTGAAAACAAGATTGCTCAAATGGTCCCAGGCAGGAGGGCGGCCAGCTGGCAAGACTCCACAAGGAAGGGCCCTGGGCCCCTCAGCATCGGCCTAAGCCAGCCTCCCTGCTCACACCTGGCAATGGTATGACAGCCACTTCCCTCTCCTAATTGCACAGACCCCTGCCCCTAGAAATGGAGATGGAAATCACCAGTATTTACACAGCCCCCGATCAGTTGCGAGGGCGCCACAGTTTCTAATAAACACACACAGACGGGGCTGTCTCATTGGGCGACGGAGCCCCAGCCTGCAGCCACGCTGCCCCCGTGCCCTCAATTCGCGCTGGGCAAACACAGCCTTCAGCCTGTGCCACGGCCCGGAGCGGGCTCTGACGTCTGTGGGGTCCCTATGGCTCTGCTCTTCCCCTGCAAAGCCTGCACCGAGCAGTCCAGGCACAGGCACCTGGGTGAGGCTGGGAGCTGGGACTAGGCATCCAGTGACCCAGGCTGCTGGCCATGGAGCTGCCCCAGCACCCATCAAGGCAGTCCTGCCTGGCCTCCCCCTGGAACTACTAGAGCAGTGGGCTCCCCAGAACATGGCCAGACATGACCCCCCGGGGGCAAAAAGAAAGCCCTAATACCTTTGTTCTCCGTCACACCTAAGAGAATAAAGGAAAGATGTCACATGAGCTGCCCCAAAAAACAGGACTCCCCTGAGAAAGGACATGGAGCACTCTGCCATCTAGCCCAGAAGGCCAGGTCAGGCTCGAGGCGTGAGGACCCTGGATGGAAGGCTCGCTCCCCACCCTGAGGATGGCACTTAACTCTCTTCCTCCTCTTGCACAACTGGGCTCACAGGGGTGGCATAGCAGAGAAGGCAGTCTCCTATTAAATGGAGGGCTCACGGTGCAGGTCTGCTCTGGCAAGATGTCTGCAGTTCACAAGGGCTCGCACACAGATACTCCTCACGATAGGTCTGGGCAGCCGGTGGTCACACCTCCCATCAGTGGGGAGAAACGGGCTTTGGGAGACAAGGCAGCCTGGCAAGGAGGAAGGCTGGGGATGGACCCAGGCCTTCACTTGATGAGGAGGGAGGCCGGCTATGCCCGGCATGGCCGAGACTAGACTCAGAGGCCAGTGGGCACCGAGCAGCTCCCCCTCTGCAAGGGGTCCTGCTCAGGCAAGGCCCAAGGGCCCACGCATCAGACACTCCTGGCCTCGCACTCCCTGTCTTCACTGCCCCCCCAGCTCCCCACTCTGTTCCTTGTCACCTCGCAAGGAGGGAGGGCAGGCAGTGACATTCCTGGGAAGGACACGCTCACGCTTCCACTCCTTGGTGACTTGCCAAGTCACCACAAACTAGAGGCAGAGTGAGAGCGAACACCTGGGTCCCGCCTTCTGGCCCCCTGGTCGCGAAGCCCACGGCCTTCGGAAGAGATAGATTCTAGGTTCCCAAATGGCTCATTGGGCCTGAGGGGCCAAGTGACAGGACAGTGGCAGGAGTGAGCAGGTGGCATGTGGCTCTTACCCTGCCAGTCCTGCTCACATCACACAGCAGGGCAAGGGCTCCCTCCTCTGCCCACAGACGACCGGGACCCTGGGTCTGCGAGTCCAGGCTGTCCGAGTGTAGGAAGGCCTGCTCTCCCAGCCCGAGTGATCCTTCGAGGGGGAAGGGCTTGGACAGTCAGATTCCTCATCCCACCTTCCCCAGCCCCAACCCCAAGCAGACCTGAAAGCCCTGGCACGGGGAGGCCTCCTGAATAGATCTGGCTGGTCTGGGGCCTCCAGCACCCTGGTGTCCCCGTTCCTGGCTTGTTTCCAGGGAGGCTGGGGCTGAATGCACACACAGTGCCAGGGACTGGGAGGGCAGGGCAAGGGGCTGCCAGCAGTGATGCCCAATGACAGGCTGGCAGGGGGCCCAGCGAGCAGCCGCTGGCGCAGGTGTGACATCATGCCCCTGGGTAGGTGCCAGTCCTCATGCCGTCATCACCCCCCCATCCGTGGTGGAGGGGAAGCCTACCTCCAGGCAAAGGTCAGTGGGGACCACCTCCCGCCCACTAGCAGAGAGGCCTCAGCTTCACACCTCCTTCCAGGCAGAGGATGGGCAAGAGCCCCACTCCTCCCATTTTGTTACTCTTCTGGGTTGTATGTGGAGCCTTGCATGCCAGAAGACAGTGTCAGTGGAAGATAGGAAGACAGAGGGGCAGGAAGTGTGTCCCTGAGTGCAGGAGGCCACCGGCGGCAGGGCCAGCAGAGCTGCCGCTGTCCCAGAAGCCCCTTGAGCCAGATGCCAGGTTGCGGGCCCGGCTGGAGCCCAGAGGAAGCAGAAGCCCCGCAGTGGGGAGTGGGGCATCCTCCAGGTCTGTTCAGCATGCCTCCCCGTTCCTGCCTAAACGCATCCACTGTGAGAAAATGGGGCAAGACAGCTGGCTCTGGTTCTCAGCTCGCCCGATGCCTGAGCCCAGCCCTACCTGAGGCTGCACTCGACGCTCGGAGGCCCCTGTGGTCTCAAGCACCGAGTGCACCTCATCCTTCCACCTCAGCCTTCCGAGTAGCTGGAATCACAGGCATGTGCTAACAAGCCAAGCTAATTTTTGACTTATTGTAGAGACGAGGTCTGGCCAAGTTGCCCGGGTAGTGCAGTGGGCAGTGCCCTGGGTTCCCATACTGGTTCCATGCGGCCACGGGAGACCTTGTCATGCCCACTCCTGCCCCAGGCTCCTTCTCTCTAGTGTTGGGGCTAGACTGGGAGGAGGATCTGTGAGGCTGCCGGGCCCCCACAGCCTGGCTTAACTCAGGCTCCAGACACCAGCGTCTGCACTCAGCTCTCCCACAGGAGAGTCAGGTGGTCGGGGGGGGGCAGGCTGGCCCCTGGAGAGCAGAAGGGCCTCGGGGAGGGACAGGCTGGCTGACTCTACCTAGCACACAGCAAGCCTTTCCCTGGTGGCCCTCCTCCCGACTGGATCGGCCAAGACCACAAGAAGCGGCGTCTCAGCCGGTTGCCCAACCAGCCCAGATGCTCTCACTTCACCTAATTCATCCCACGACTGCGGGTCAGCAGAAAAGACCCTTGCTTCCAGCCAGTGTTGCACTGGGGGCTCCGCAGCAAACCTGGCGGGGAGAGTCAGCATCCCCTGGGGTGAACCTGACCGATGTGGGGTGGGAGCTGGTGGGAAGGGCCTTTTCCCCAGAAACAACTATTGATCCTCAGTCCTAACAAGCATTTCAGAGTTTCTCAGTCAGCCCAAAGGGACTGAGCAACCAGCTGCCCTTAGCAGTGGCCGGTCAGAAGAGGCAACTTCTGGTGGAGTTCCCTCTTCCCCAGTCAAGGACCTGCGTGCAGGCTTCAGGCTCTGCTTTTTGGAGAGCCAAGGCTAAGACAACTAACTGGTTACCCATGCTCAGATTTACGGCAAGTGGAACAAACCCAGCCCAAAGGCCCCCATGGAAGCTTACTGGGCCTGGAATGCCAGCAGCCGTGCAAAGAGCCGACTTCCCAAGTCTTAAGTTTACTGAGCATCTTTTGCTTTTCAAAACCTTTCACAGAGACAATCCCTAAACTGACTGTGTGGGGTCACGTAAGCAAACTCAAGTTCTCTATGAGGAAACTGAGGCCCAAAAAGGCTTACTGACATGTCAGGAATTTTTTTTTTTTTGAGTTGGAGTCTCACTCTGTCACCCAGACTGGAGTGCAGTGGCACACTCCTGGTCACTGCAGCCTCGACTTGCTGGGCTCCAGCGATCCTTCCACCTCAGCCTTCCAAGTAGCTGGAATTACAGGCGTGCGCTACCAAGCCCGGCTAATTTTTGATTTATTGTAGAGACAAGGTCTGGCCAAGTTGCCCGAGTGGGTCTCGAACCCGCAGGCTCAGGCAATCCACTCGCCTCAGCCTCCCAAAGTGCTGGGATGACAGGCTGAGCCACTGAACCTGGCCACTTGTCAGGAATTAACACAGCTACTAAGCACTATGACTCTGAGGTTCAATTCCCGGCCATCTACTGCTAAGTTGGAAGCCTGCTCGGTTTTTCAGTGTGATAAGCCGCCCGTGGGTCCTTGAGAACCGCTCTGCTGGGGTTCAAAAATGGCTCAGGCGCTAAATCCACTCCCTTCTCTGCAGTTTGGCAGCGGAGAAGGAAAAGTCTGAGAAAAGTGCAGGGGCTCCAGGTTGCTTCAGGGCTGAGCTGGGATGTCAGCACAGCCTCAGGAAGGCTGAGGCGCAGGGTCGAAGGGCTCTCACATGGCAGACCAGGACCCCCGCACTGCCTCCTTGGAGCTCTAGCCCCTGCCCTTGTCAGCTGCAGACCCTTTGGGCAGGGGAATGCAAGGACTGCCCTCCCCTCCCTGTTCTTGGTGACCATGAGGGGAGCTTTCCCTTTGGCAGGTGCAGGCCCCGAGGGACTCTGCGGCTGGGCAAAGGGCCCGGCGTGTCAGTTCCCATCACAGCCACACTGTCGGGCGTGAGTCACCACACACGCAGCAGGTGAGTCATGCAGGCTGACGGACACTCTGAGGACAGGACAAGCGGTGGAGGGGCACCGGAGGGGCCAGAGAGTCCACATCCTGGCCATGAGCACAGTGAAGTTCTAGTGCTGACGCAGGGCCATCCAGTAACAGAGTCCGTGTGCCATCCGGTTCGTCCCCCAAACACAGGCAGGACCCCATCTTAACCTGCTCACCCTCTGCACTGCCCCCAGGGTCCGAGGCTTGCTGACCAACCCCCATGAAGCTTGCTTATTTCTGCCCGTCCCGTTAGAAGGGCTAACCTCAAAAATGAAGACGGTCACACGCACAGGGTGGGCACAAAAGGCCCTCCGTTGGCACACCGCTGGGGGTGCGCACACACACAGGCTGCACGCGGCAAGAAAAGCCGAAGAACGGGCGAGGCTCGGGAGCCCCGCCATCCTCAAGCTGGGGCTGGCAGCCAAGGGTCTCCCGGGGGGCGCGGCACGGGTGCAGTTGGGTGCTGTTTGAACTGTGCCTGCGGTGTTTCACAGTAAAAAATGCTAAGAAACAAGCCGGGCTCGGTGGCTCAGCCTGTAATCCCGCGCCTTTGGGAGGCTGAGGTGAGTGGACTGCCTGAGCCCGCGGGTTCGAGACCTGCCTGGGCAACTTGGCGAGACCTCATCTCTACAATAAATTAAAAAATGAGCCGGGCGTGGCAGCGCGCGCCTGTAGTTCCAGCTACTTGGAAGGCTGAGGCGGAAGGATCGCCAGAGCCCAGCAGGTCGAGGCTGCGGTGGCCAGGAGCAGCCACTGCACTCCAGTCTGGGCGACAGAGTGAGACTCCAACTCAAAAAAAAAAGCTAACAAAAAATAAGCGGGAGAGTCTCGACTCAGCACTCGGGTGTGATCTAAGGCGCCTCGAGTCCGGCTGCACGCCGACGGGGTCCGCGCCAGAACGCGCGGCCGAGCTGCAGCAGGAACACGACGGGCGACGGCCCTGCGGGCTCTCCTGGCGACGCCTGGGTCCTTGAGGACTCTCGACTCCTAAAACCCCGCCGCAGCGTCGCCTGCTCGCACGGCCTGGGGACGCACATCCGACGGCGGG